CACACACACACACACACACACACACACACACACACACACACACACCCAAAGAGCCTTGTCAGATTTGCATGCACAGCCGTTCATTCCTCAAAACTCATCTGATCGTTCAAAGCCAGATTCATGTAATCACATCAATTCCAGACATTCTTTTTCTTTATGGCAGTTTGTGAGGACCTTAGATCTTTGTATATAAATAGAAACACACATATAAAAATGAGTGAAGCCTAACATTAAGGAATGCATACTCAAAGGGGAAACACGCCTCATGGGCCTTCAGTCTGACATACTTATGAGGACCACTTTGACATCAGCCTTAACCGGTACCTCATCTGAACCCTAAGCCCACTTTCAGCTTTGAATAATCCCAGTATTTTTCTTATAAACAGTAACCCTGCTTCACGGGTCCTGTGAGAACTTACAAAATAACTTCGCAGGGCAGTTTGGGCCTCCCAAGCATAGAAAATCAAGAGCACACGTGTATGCGTACGGAGAGCTGCTGGTCTTCTCTTACAAACTCAGAAGTCAACCCTGAATGGTAACTCAATAGCAATATTTACTCTGTCAGTACAGTAACTCAATATACTGTCCGGGCTTGGCAAGTGTGTAAATATGTGTTTTTATGTGCATGCCAGCCTCTGTAAGAGTATACGTGTGATGAGCTGGACAAACACACTCACACGTGTATGCATGCAGACACATACAGACTGACAACCATTTTTCCCTTCTTTTTTCTTGTGTGTTTTTCTATTTGTGTGTTTCAGTGTCCCAGTCTATATGACTGTGTTTGTGTGTCTGTGTGTGTGAGAGACAGAGAAAATTGAGAATTGGGCCAGGCGTTGCAGTTCAGTTTTGTCAGCTGTATGGTTTGGTGCTGGCTGAGGGACGGAGTTCCCCTCCCCTCACCCCCATCTGCCCAGTAAGAGTGTCACATAAAGTCCGGTCTTTATTGATCGTGCCGGTGCCAGATGGCAGATTTATGGAAGATGAAAGCGAGGGACTAATCAGATTTCCAGTCCTGTTTGGGGCTAAAGTTTCCTCCTTTCTTAACACGTTCTCTACTACGCTGAGCATAACCCTAAACAGCAGTCCAAACAGGAAATTACAGAAACGCCTGGCATCCTTTGTGGGTCTGCATATGCATGTGTGTTTGTGTTAAGGTCAAAAGTCAGGGCCATGTGTGGAGGTGATATTAGATAACACGGTAGTCAAATAGGGATTTCTGTTAACTGTACCAAATCTCTGCATTTAATAGCAAGCAAAGACATTTTAATAAATACCTTTTATACATGTTATATTTTAACTGATATTTACAAATGGGAAGAAGATGTATTTGTTATAAGGTTTCAGTGTGGGAGTATATAAGTTATCATTCATGATAACAAACAACCAGAGAATTATTACCAACCGCTATTTTATTCAATTTTGGTGGAGACCAAAAATGGAGCAAAAATAAGAGAAAAAAAGAAAGATACATATTATATTATTATTACACCTGTTCAGGTCAAAACACCAGGTAAAAACATGTCATAACAGTGATCAGGAGTGGGGAGAAATCTCATGTAAACTCGTGTTTTGGTGCGTGGGAAATCCACAAAGAACGAATCCATCATAGATTAATGAATGATGAAATGGATTGGAATAATGAGTGTAAAACCCCCCAGAATCAAATTGGCTTAATATGGCATCTCATCATGTGGTTTCTGCAAACTGTGCAGAAACATTCAGCTTCGTCATGGTTTGCTGAAAACTGGATTCCTGTGATGATTACGCTGTTTATGGTGTAACAAACAGGGGAGAGAGAGGAAGAAATACCAATGAAAACTTTGGCTTGTGTGGTTGTGGAGTGCATTAGACACGAGGCTGTTAACAAAGACCATTTGCAGATGCAGCCTGCAGTTCAGTCGGTGTCTGTGTGTGCATATGCGTCTTCACTCCTCAAGTCCAAGCCACTTAAGAAAACATATTAAGTAAGCTGAATGACTTTTTACTAGTCCAGCATTGAAAAAGTTCTTGTGAGGATTTTTAAGAGTTTGTTTGCTAAAAACGGACACATCAGTGTACCCAGCACACGGGCCTTCCCAGGCTTTTCAATGCTGTGATGTGTGCGAGCTGTTGGAGTGTCATAGGCATATGTAAGGGGTCATGGCTAAATGCTCCAGCTTGTAGCAATGCAAAAACGGGACTCTCAATCCTAACTTTCTTTGGACTTAATCTTACTGGCTAAGCTTCATTCTTTTTAAACATGCAAGGCTCCTAAAAGCAAAAGTTAAAAAACAACAATGCAGCGCAAAGTGAAAAACACAAAGCTCCCAAACAAAGCATGAACCACTCCTCCTGTCTGACAAACATTTACTTACAAATGTAATATAGCATACTGACTTTAGCTCCAATATGGTGGCCAGAGGGTGTGTTTGCCAGCATTCCCAAAAACACCCCCTATATGCTTTTTCAAATGCTCACAAAGAGGCCGAGTTGGTATGTTCTTTTTATTTTTTGTCTTGGACATAAATGTGTGGTAAAACGGGGTGGTGCAGCCCTTCAAGGCAATAACAAAAGGACCAAATGAGAGTTTTGTCCATGTTTCAGGGGTGAGTGATGACTTTGGCAGAGACGCTGCAGATAAAACACTTTCAAGTGAGCGCAGGGCCAGAACTAAAAGCAAACAGCTGTGCTTCCCACTCTCTCTCCCGCACTCACTCTCAGCCTCTCTCGGCGCTTCACTCCTATCTCTCCTTCACCTTTCCGTCTGCTGATTTCATCTCCCTCATTGTGTCCGTCTCTCCCGAAGGCCGCCCGTCTCGTCTCCACGCATTTTAATTCCCCCTCATTGTTTCTTGCATTATTCCCTTGTTTTCCATCGCACTCATTCCTTTCTTTGTCCTTTCCTGTTTTTCTAATCAGCACACACAGAGTTAACTTGTGGCTTGTCATTTCTTTTTAAAATGAGGGTAAAAGTCAGTTACTTTTGTCATATTTTTTTCTTTCTCTCTCGCTTTCTTCTCCCTCTCTCCCTGCTGTTTAATGGGTGGGTCGCCCCATTGTACCCAAACTCACACACAACATCGTCAAATATTACGGCTTTGCTTAATTGAAACTATGCAGCAGAGCGTGCGACTGCATATGGAATATTTTATGTTGCGCTTGTTAGAAATTTCAAGCGCAATGAAGAAACAGCAGATGAGTTTTTTAACAGCCGGTGTTGTGGCAACGTGGCCGAGTGTTTGGAGTTTGTTTTCCAGCGAAGCGAAAAAAGAAAGTCACTCCAGCTTATTTGAAATCCAAACAGGCTTTATAATAACCCCTCTAACCCTCAAATAACCTCAAATGAGTTTTCAAAACAGTGAAGTGGGGAGGGAATACTAGTCATGGACTAACTTTCTGGGGAACATGATTAAGAAATCAAAGCAGAAGAAGTCTCAGTGAAGAGACATAGAAAAAAACAAGTTTACAATAACATTTAGAGTTACTCGATTTAAACATGCACAGGTCTAATAGAACATGCAATGTCAAATGAAACCTTTGTATTTCTAGCATAAGCTCAGACTCATCCTCGTGTATCCGTTTGTGTGCGCCAGCGTTGCTTAAACCAGGTTTCCCACTGTGTTTTCTAGGTATGTGTACCACAGCTCCAAGTGGATGGTGGCGGGAAACGCAGACTCTCCGGTTCCTCCGCGGGTCTACATCCACCCAGATTCTTTGGCCTCAGGGGACACGTGGATGAGGCAGGTGGTCAGCTTTGACAAGCTCAAACTCACCAACAACGAGCTGGATGACCAGGGGCATGTAAGCACAAGACTTTTCTCTGCTACTAAGTTAACAACAACAAAACATCTGTTATGGCACTTTTGAGTCTGGATGTTTCATCACTTCCACTTTGATGTCTGGTCAAATCTACCCCCTCCACAATTGTAGTGTGAAATAAGCAAATTCTTCCTGTGACTGGAATTTATAACAAAGCTGATCAACTGCACATTTCTTCATGGCTGACTGATTTGTAACTTTAAAAAATACAAGTTCTACAAGTTCCTTTAATAAGATGATTTTTTTGTATTGACTTAACAGTGAAGACGCATGAAGAGTAGAACTTACTTACAAAACACTAGATCAGTCATGCTCACCTCCTCTCTTGCTAGTCCATGTGCAATAATTTCGATGTTTCCCAAATAATGTAAAGTAGTACAAGCATATTTACAACAATGACATGAAATGATAACTTCAAATCATGCAGTGTAAAATGTTAATGGTTTAATTTTAAGCTCACTTTCTTAAACTGCTGCTGAAGGGCCCATGTGCAACTTTAAGGCCACTGGACCCAAAGGCCAATCAAATGTGAGTAAATGGTGCTACGCAGCTAAATAATCCGAAAACAAAGCAGATTATTTGTCAACACTACGTTTTTAAAATTTGCAAATAAAAGTTTTGGAATCGTTGTTTATGTTCGTCGTTATATCTTAGAACAAAATCTAGAAATATTTTAAATAAAAGCTGAAGCAGCAGTGTGGATAAAACTTTGGACCACAACGACATACAAAAACAGAGTGACCTATCTGAGCTGCATTTGGTTTAAATGTTCAAGCTGTGATTTATACACATGCACTCGGTGCACTCCTGGAGCTGTGTGGCAGCTTGTGGATGGAAATGTTTTGAAGTGTTTTCTTGAAATGAAAGTTGACACGTTTCTTTGTAGATTTTACGCTTTCGGGACTCACAGAGCCGTGAGACTTGTTCAGAATCGAACCAGATATAGTGCATTCACGCTCAGGCCGCCCCCTTTTTCGAAGGATGGGCTGCTCTGAGCTCATTTAGAGGATTAAAGTGGAAAGATATTAAAAGTTTCCTTGTTTGAATATATCATTTTCCTTTCCTTGGGGGATTTTGTTAAGGTCATTTAAATGATTGAATTTGATTTGTAGTACGCTCCAGCAGCCACATCACTGTGCTAAATTTTAAGTCTGACCACAGTCTCTCTGATTTACTGCCCTGCTTGTATCCAGTCAGTAACAGAGGTAGTTAGCTATAGTGAGCCTCTTATTGCTTCTTGGCTGCTTAAAATATGTTATCCGGGCTTCATAGGTGAAATATTTAAAGCAAAAAAGCAAAAACTTTGACCATAATTTGTCTGATTTATTGCCCTCCTTATATATAATCAGCAAGTGGCCAGCAAGCTAAAATCAGTCCTGTATTTCCACTTGATTCCTCCTCTTAAGGTAGAAATGAGTTTCATGTGAACGGAATTATAGTGAAAGCTGTTAGTTTAATTGTCCTCTTGTGCTTAGCCCTAGCTTTAAAAAAATGGCCAAATATAATACAGATAATATGAAAACTACATAAGGTTGTTTGTGTAGCAGCACTGCTACCTATGACATCAGCAATCGCCAGCAGCAGACGTTGCATAAACACTGAGTGGTTTGTTGGAGTAGAGTTCGAAAGTTACTTTTTTCTTATCAACACTGGTGGAGGAAACAAGTCAATCAAAAGTTAAGTTTATTCTAAATTCAGCAACCTGTTTGATGTATAAATATCAACCTGTTTGCTAACATGCTAGCCACAGCACCCATAAAAGTCTGTCATCTCGAGTCTGCATGAACTCCATGTGCTTTTAGAAACTAAAGGAGAGCTGGTGCTAAGAGAGGAAGGATGACACAGTGCCTGTCTGAGAGATCAGAGTTTCTGTTGCTACAAATCAACTTTGTTACTGAGAAAAAAGATCATACAGTTTTTATAGAAGCCTTGTAGTGACACCGCCATGACAGAGATGTCTCCTGCTCTGTGACAAAATGGCGGGTTCCACATTTGTGCAGCGCACTGCGTGGGCACGGCAGGTTGCTGCTCTGCAGATGATCACATCAGCTCAGTGGTGACAAAAGTAACAACATCTGGGCGTCAGCGCGCGACGATTCGCTTGCAGGGCTTCTTCAGAGTGACGGGAGGTTGTCTTTCCTTTCCTGCTGCTCGGCTTTAGGGTCTTTGTTTCCCTGGAGGGTCTTTAGAGGCCAAAGAAAATTAATTTCGGAGCTTCCTGTGTGGGAAACCTCACCACGTCTCACTCATCCTCCTGACTTGTGGTGTCGTGAAATGTCTGCCTCATCACAAACAGAAACCATACGTGTCATGAATCATCAGGTGTCACAACAGAAGCAGTCTGTGAGCAAAATCAATATTTTTGCACGTCTCTCCGAGCGCATTATCAGAGCAGCGTTGCCATTTTACAATAAAAACTTGATCCATTCACAGCACTTGTCAGCAGATATGAGGTGATCTCACCTGTGTAAAGCTAAACAATCAAAAATCAGAATTAAAAGTAAAGCGCAGACAGCGCTGGAAGTCCACCTCGAGATATTTAGAGACAGGGGTTAAATATAGAGCACATATACAAAACATTATCAGCTTAGACAACATGATTTATTGTTGACTGTATGACTTTAGATACTCTTTTAACCTGCAGCGCTCCGTCATTCATTAAGGATAAAATTCATCCCATCATTCTGTTTTGGTCGAGTATGAAAGAAATGCCCAGGTTGCTCAATTCAAAATAACACAGCAATAATATAAAAACACATTAACTTAATCATGTCATTAACTTTATTGTTTTTCATATTATGTTGTTTATTTTTTGTAAATTATTATTTTACAATGAATTTCTTTATGTTAACATAACCGTAAAATAAATGACATGGAATAAAATGGACAAGAATTTCTTGTGGAATTTAAAATAATCTAAAGTGACATCAAATCCAGCAGGAACTTATACTCCACCAGTAACTGTGCTCCACTATATATACTTTAAATAATCTAAGCTTATAAAAGTTTATTTTATGCATTCATACAGTTTCGTGCTATCTTGATGATGATTATGTTGAAAAATAAAGTTAAAAATAAATTCACAATATAATATTCTTATAATATAAATCATTTTACATAATAATGCTATTCTATAGAAAATCTGAACATAAAAATATTAGCAGTAATGATATCAACCAAATTACTGTAAATTTTTGTTTTGCCTTTTCTTTGGCAAACTAATTACATTTTTTTAAAGTGTGTTTTGTTTGAGTTGGTAAGAGATTACAAACAAGTACACTTTTTAAACTATGTTATTGTACGTGCATTACTAATGCATTCACACTTTATTTGTATTTTTAAACTCTGCAGTTATTATCAACATGCAATTAATTTGCAAGTATTTTTGCAAGACTGTTGAATGTTAGTCAAAGCAACAGTGTAACTGTTTTATATCAAGATTGCACTTTGCTTTCATTACACCAAAGTTTTGAATTTCAGGAATTTTTCAAATGCGGTGAAAACTCTCCGTCCAGCAGTTTTGTGTCATTTGCACACGGGGGAAACCGTGCCGCAAGCTAAAAGCTTCTCTTACCTCAGTGCCTGCATGGACTCATTACCCTCAGTCTGCATGCTTATAGCTTCAAATCTGCCTCATGCTGTCCCTCTCTCACTGTTCTATGGGAAAACCTAATAAAATGCTAAAGCAGACTCGACTAGCCAAAACATTTTTTGTTACTTCTGTTTTGTTCTTTGTTAATGATCCATTGCATGGTAACGTATCAATGCTGCTGTGTGAAACCGTTCAAAATGCCACAGAAGATGTTTCTACAGTCTGCTTTGAGGCCTTTGCCCTTTTTTCTTTTATACTGAGTAAAAGACCTTCCAGAGACACAGCTGACTCATATACAGTCAGTGAATCCTCGACCGTTTTCACAGCTGAAATCACAGGCTTGCTTTGATTACTAATTGTTTATGGTCATTAAAGTGTTTTAACTATGTTTTTAAAAAAAAAACAATTAAAGCCAAATGTGCCTTAGACATTGAACGGGATCTAACTTGGTGGACATGCACGCGACATGTTATGTGCATGTGCTGGTGTCCCTGGTGTGAATGTCCAGAATATTTTCAAAGGGGGTCCAAAGAACGTCATTACCTACCACGGAAATGAAAACACCACTTATTAAATAATTGTATTTGAGCGTGAACGACTGTCAGCTGATGTCCTCTGGCTGCTCCTTGAGTCATTTGTTCTGAGTTCAGCGAGTCAAAGTGTGACTTTGACCCACAAGATAGTTGTTTCATTATTTTAACTTTTTTTTCTCTTTTTGATAATTTACATTTTATTTAAAATCTGTAAATAAACTGAAAATACGACTGGATTTTGCTTGAGCGCTTATGGTTGGAATGGCAGACAATACGAATTGAAACTTGTTTGATTTGATTTGAACATTAAAATCTCCAAGATCAATTTTTTTTTCACAGCTCTGTTTTATCAATTGAAACAAACGTAGTCTGAAAACAACCCACAAAATGTGAAAGTATTTTTTCCATGGTGCAAAACTTATGCCTGGACGTGCTGCCTGGAGACCGTTCCTCTGACCACCCGGGTAAAGATACACCACAGCACCCGCCCACGCAGTTTGATTGGCAGGTCATCACTGGGCAGAGCATGCCAAAACACCACAAAAATGAATACCGAGCAACACAGATGGAGACATGTCTTTAAAATGAGGATTGCAGATCAGCACATGCGTCTCCACGCAGATGCCCAGTCATGATTCGTGTGCGTGTAGTGTGTGTGATTTGAGGTCTGGAACACTGAATGTAATGTTTTTGATATTCAGAGGTGTTTTCCCCCTGCGGCTCTAGTTTGAAATGACCCCCTCTGTTGTAACAGAGTGCTGAGGTGGTGGGGGGGTTGTGGGTGTTTGGCTCTGGGGAGGTTTTCTCACTCTCAGATTAATCAGGAGCAGACTGAAACCCTGAGGCGAGGTTGGGGCCGACACTGTCTGACGCCTCCGCTCTGCTGTGAAATAATGTGAAATAATCCTCAAGCCAGCGTCACTGCAGTGAGAACTTTGTTTCTGCTTAATGTCACGTAGCCCTGGTCGGGAATCAGTGCAGCTAATTGATGTTTACAAGAAAGCGTTTTTTTGTTTTTTTTAGGACGGAGGTTTTATGTTGTATTTTGAGTGTTTTGTACATTTCAAGGCACCTATAATGCATTCACACACAGATTTGTAACTACCGAGATCATCCTTCACAGATTACGCACCCCTGCGTACATTCACACAAAATGACTGACTGCACTTCACTCTCTTCTTTTCTCATATTTATAGATCATCCTCCACTCCATGCACAAGTATCAGCCTCGTGTTCATGTCATCAGGAAGGACTTCAGCAGTGAACTGTCTCCAAACAAACCAGTGCCCAGCGGGGAAGGAGTTAAGACCTTCAGCTTCCCTGAGACAGTCTTTACCACAGTCACTGCTTATCAGAACCAGCAGGTATTCAGCTCTGATTTGATCACCATAGTAAAAACTGATTACAGGATATTACTTTAAAACAAAAAAAGAAATCAGACGTAATTTCAGAAGTGCTCTGAAATTACTCATCTCTGAAAAGCTTAAAAAAATCCCTTCATATAATCTGCTTTAAAAATCCTCACAGTTTATAGCGATGGCATTTTCTACTCAAGCATTTTTGAAAGTTTATAAATAAAATGTCTCTTTCTATGTTGTCCTTTTCTGCAGATTACCAGACTAAAGATTGACCGCAACCCATTTGCCAAAGGTTTCAGAGACTCTGGAAGAAACAGGTACATTGTTACAACATCATCCAGGCAATACACCCTCCTTAGGTGTCTTCAGTGCTTTGTCTCTGTTATCAGCCAAAGCAGTTATACTGAGTCTTAGCTGACACATGCAAAGAGATAAATAACAACCACGTGATTCAGATTCTCCAATCAATCTAACCTCTATGCTGTTAGACTCTATGGGGGGTAAACAAAGAACCCCATGCTAATTGTTGCACTGTGTGACCTTTATTGTGGAAATAATCCTCTGAAGATAGCACACATGCAGCTGTTGCCCAGATCTGCAGTACAGACAGACACACTGATGCACAAGCGAGAGAAAACAACGTTTGTTCTCTTTTGCTTTCATTGTTTCATTCCTCTGATTTTCAGGTCTTAGAATAATAACCTGTACATGCATAAACAGGTTGAAACTGGAAATCAATGTCAAACGCTGTCAAAACACTGAACAGATACTGATGTATGTATTTATTATGTATTTATTTATTTCCACTTTTTGATTTTATTAAGACTTAAAGCTAGGAGTTATTTCTGCTTTGAAAGGTGTTGTGACAAAGGGTTGTAGCTATTGCCCGGTTATATCAATACTGATTCAAGTAAAGGCCAACTATGTTTGTGTTGTTGGTGCCTTTCCAACAAATAATATTACTTGCCGGGATGTATAGATTGTCCAAGAAGTTTGTACTTAATCTTTGAGTAAATTTGAGTATTTTACTAGTCTGTTGCTTGGAACTGATATATGGTGCCTGTGCGGCTTATTAACTGAGCTTAGCGGTAAACCTGCCTCTCCATCACCTCGTCCAAATATTGTTACTTCTGGCTCAATCACTAGTGGGTGCATGTTGCTGGTCCTAGAATATGGTTTGCTGCACTGTGACTAGCTAATGAACAAGTATCCATCCATCTTTAATCTTAACTGTAAATATTTGCTTGTCTCTGACATTTGCTGTGAGCTGATTATTAGTTTTTCCACATTTTGTCAAAGGTACCAAGTTTTCATTTCTCTTACGCTCACCTTTAGCTTCAAAGTGGGCTGATTGTTTTTATTTTAGACATTTAGCTCCATAAAACCCCTAAAATTTCATCACTCACTTAAGACCTGCTTCAGACTGAAATAAAGCCATAAAATGTGATTGGAACAACGGCTACATGTAACTAAATTTAGGCCAGTTTAACCTAGACGTCTAGACATGCTTTGACCTGAAAATCACCATATCCGTGCTTACGGGAATATTAACACTGTCTGTACTCGTGTTTTCTTTCTTTTTTAATCATGCCCACATTCCCACACGACCTATAAAGCAGTGAAGTCGGCCATTTAGTCGCTATAAATTACAACCAGAATTCTGTGAGATATGTTTGCTCTCCTCTTCCTGACACAAATCCAAACAAAAGGCAAATGAAACACAATACAAAAATGGTTTGACTCTTATTGTCGCACGGTAAAAGGTTGCACTGGGACATGTTGTCATTACTGTCTTGTTACTGTGCGATGTTAGCCAGAGACAGCAGTCTGACGCTGCACTGTGGAAGACTTACTTCTACTTACTTTTCAAGCTAACTAATAACATTATTGATTATGTTGGATTTTATCCTGATGCTTTCTTAGATGTTCTACATCACTGTTTACCTCTCCTTCTGCCTCTATCCCCCTCCTCTCGTCTCCTCCCCTCTTTTCTCTTGATTCGCCTTGTTGCACCCAGTCACTGAATCATCCTATATCTATAACATAGTGGAGGAGAGGAGGAAAGAGAAGGGGTCTCCACACATGAAAGCAGCCCCCTCATCTGGTCCGCATTATTGGCGCACAGATATTTGAGACATCTTTTTTCGTTTTTCAGACAATAGACCGTTTGATTTATGAACTGGCATTAGAATTTCATTGCAGAAAAGCTACAGATGAAAAGATAACAGAGCACAAGAGATTTGTCTTTAGAGAGAGAAAATGAATTGATCCTCACGTACTGCTCAGGATTCCTTCCCTTCACGCCCGTCTGGGATTTGTTTTGGTTCAGATTTGGCCAGGACACACTGAGATTTCAGACTGCTTCTGTTACCTTAAAAGCCCTCTCTCAGTCATTCTGAATTTCATGCTTTGTGTCGGAGCTGATTTCTTTTTTTTTATTGCGTCATTCATGAATATTGTTAGCGAGCTGCAGCTCTGACCTTTGACCTTCATGCTGCTGTTTCAGAATAATTATGGTGATTTGGGAGTTTGGTCACACAGGATGAAGTTATTAGCTCAATATGAAATGTAACTGTAGATACGGCGTGTTTCCAGCTCACAGTCAGGTCTGATTTTTAATCAAGAAAAAAACTGCAAATATTCAGTTCAATCAAACATAAACGTCTGATTATAATTACACTTTGGCAAATCTTGAATTATGAAGGTCAACCCAGTATTAGGGCATAAATGCAATAAATGATCATATATCATCATCATGATTATTATTATTATTATTATTATTATTAACTGCAACATTGCTAATACAAGAGATAGGGCCAAGGGCAGATGCTTCTGCATCCCCTGAATTATTTTCACAAGATTTCTCAACATTTTGATGATCAAATGATGATAAACGAAACCACAATTAGCAAAAACTGGTTAAAAATAATTAACCTCATGCTAATTTCATTAGCATGATAATCATGATTTTTCTCTTGGTCAAAAGTTTGTCTATCAAGGAAAAATCCTGCAACACGACCACCTCTGACTAACATTATCATCGATTTGGATGCAGTTTCCGATGTGGCAGTGATTGGATGCTGGCATCAGCATCAGGTGCAGCTTGTTAGGTTAGTGGCTCCTGTGAGCAGTCAGTGGATGTTGTCTGAAGCAAATGCCGATGTGTGTTGGCAAAGCCAAGAAATTCCAGCTGCACGGACAGATCAGGCGGAGTCGTTCGTAATTTTATTATGTGCAGATGTATCCTTGGTGGCTAATGTGTCAGATTAGGGTTAGAAACGTCAACAGGTGAGACAGACGAGATAAAAGCAATTAACATTTCCTGTGCTTAGCCTGAACAAGTCACAATTATCTGTAATGAGTAACGACAGTCGTTTAGTCCACATCTTTCTTGTCACCTTGTGGTAAACACTAGATAGGAAGGAAAATCAAGGTAATTTCCAGTGAAACCAAACCTTGCTCGCCCCCTAATAAAATACTAACCCTCTCTTGATTTGCCTTCTCTGCAGCCAGGTTGAGCAAAATGTAAAAGTGCTGCAGCTGCAACTGAAAGCAGTGGAAACAGGCAGCTGTGCACATAAAAGCAGGTGTGACATATTTTGTTATTATTGCCACGCGCGTCTTTTAAACGTTACTCAGCTTCTATTAGTATCGGATATGGGTGACATAAACAGTTATAAAAAATACCTAAGGTACTTTCTTTGGGTTTTTAAGCTGTAAAATGAATGTGCAGCTCATTTGCTGTGAAGCATTACCAACAGATTCCATATTCAGGGGAAATTCCAAATTAATAGAAAGGCCAAACTTGCACTGCTAATTCTCAAATTAAGCACCATCTTGTTTTCCTTTTTCTGAGTTTCTTGTTGAATCTTAATGCGGTCCTCTCTCAGCCTTACGGTTATGGGGGTGTCGTCAGTTGTCTGGTGACCAGGCTTTATGGCCCGGTGGAGGGATACAGCTCATTTGTTGGGTTTTGGTCCCGCGGCAGCAGTGCAACTGTATGAATGAGTGCAGTGATGATGAGGGCTGGGCTGATTAGCATGGCACACTAACGAGCTGCCACAGCCAGGGAGCTGGTGGCCCTAAAATAACACAGGGAGCAGAGCGGACGCTGCTTTGCCTGGGCCAGAGCCGAGCGCCATGTGGGGAAGTAAATCAAGCAGGAAGGAGAACCATGTACAGATTCAGGATGAAATGTCACCTCAGATTTATATGCACACTAAAATTCTGCTCCTTTTTAATGGCCCCAGTTTCCTCCTAGCTGGACTCTGGTTTATCCCACCTCTCTCTCCATCTCCATTATATATCTCAAACCCACCCCAGCTCCCGATGTTTCTAGCTGTCTCACTGACATGTAGAGTATCACTGCCCATTTTTCTTCCATTGATGTTTTCAGTATATTTAGATTCTCCCTCTATGTACTCGTCAAGTCACAGTTTATTAATTCTATTAACGGAAATGAGTAAATTACTTATTTAACTCTATTAAAAGTACAGTTTTAAAATAAAGTTAAGTATTAAAAAGGCTGATTTTGTTGCAAGAGTGAAGAAAGAAATATGAATACTTTCCCCAAACTTTGGTTATTGTTCTCATTAAGCGTTTCAGTGTTCATTTCAAACATTTAAATGTCTATAGTAACAATCAAAGCTCATAATTATCTAAAATCTAAAATCAGGCTTCTGGGACTTTAAATACAACAGTGAGCCTGATCAAGGCTTCAAGCTTTAGACTTAAAAAAAAAAGAGATACATGCTTAAAATCAGTGATTAATCTATGACTGATAATATTATTTTCTCTGTCCTAGCAGCAGCTTTTATTGTAAACTTCATTTAAAAAAAAATACTTGCCTCTTGTTTTCATTTCTTTTTTTGTGTTTGTGTGTGCGTCCTAAAATTGGTTTTGTATGTCTCTGTCAGGACTGGCCTTGAGGCAATCATGGAAACATATGCTTTCTGGAGACCTCCAGTGAGGACACTCACATTTGAAGACTTTACAAATATGCAGAAACAGCAAGGTATGTAAATAAATATATTTGTGCAGTCCTTCTCATCTGTCTTAAAGGAACAAATTTACCTTAACTTTGTGACATTAAAAAAAGTATTACAGTAGAATAATGTAAGGCAAAAAAACCCCAACCTACTAATAAACTACTGACTGTGAAACTGTATCATATTGCTTCCTTTTACAATATGCTATATTCAGTTGATATTTTAAACCTTTAGATCTTCTTTTCTATGTGTTGAAAAACACACCACACAATTATAAGTTTCCGTATTATAAAGCTTTTTCTCAGTTTTTGACCAATAAATCAGTAAGTAAACTTTGAAGACTTTGATGGGTGTTAACCAGATTTTAATGGATTGTTAAAATGACCCCACTTTACACCCCTACAAATTTTGGCATAACTTTTTGAACTATCAATCAATCAATCAATCAATCAATCAATCTTTATTTATAAAGCACTTTTCATACAAAGAAAATGTAGCACAAAGTGCTTTACATAGTTAAAAGCAGCCCACCCCACCCTCCAACTCCCTCTCCACACTCTCAATACACATATATCCCCCCACCCCCACCCACACACACATACACACACGCGCACACTTAAAGAGTAAAAATTGGGCTGTCTGTAAAACTATTGTGTTTACAGACAGAATGACACGCGCGCATACGCTAACAAACACATAACCTACTTGGCAGGGGTAATGAAATGCAAAATGATGTTAAAGTCACATTTATGGTTAAGAAACACACACACACACACACACACACACACACACACACACACACACACACACACACACACACACACACACACCATAATAAGTTTATGAATGACTGTCAGTACATCAAGGATCGCTGTATCATGATACCATCATTGTCACGGGCGACTTGTTGTACGAGTATTGTAATTATGAATTAGTTTGTGTTTTCAGATAAAACCTGTAAACTGAAACCAAACATGAAATGATCACTGACTGGGACATTTTTACTTTCGGTTTTTTTTTGTGATTTTAAATGTATTTGGTTTAAAATTGGATTTTCATAACTGAAACGTCACATCATCTTTTTTTTTAGGGCTCATTACAGTGTAGTGTAATACATTACTGCACAGTTACCTAGAGTTGTGTGCAGTGGTACTTACCATGACCTTGGCGCATTGGTGTCCCAGTGTGAACTCTCCATGTGCATATTTTCCCTCCATATATCAGCTGTGGTTGTCCTTCATCTGAGCTTGGCCATACACTGCTCCTCTGGCAGGTCTGCCTGCGTCTGCTGAACTTTTCACATCACGCGTAGCCGTTGCAAATAAAATCGTTAAACAAACCTTGTGGCTTTTGGACGGCTCCACGACAAGAGTCAGCGTCACTTGGGCCACCTCCCTTTGTCTCAGCTCCAGAGTCGACATCCAGGAACGAGTCATGGCTCATATCAAGGGCCTCGCCGCTTTCAAGCAACTCTAAAGCAACGCTGACCTGATCCATGTTACCCTCGGAGGTCAGCATGACGTAATGCTCCATGTTTTGTCAGAGCGGGCTGACACGTGTTTGTTATCTTTAAACTTCTCCGCAGTGATTAAGATTTAATTAAAGTCCTTGCTCTGTCAGTGAACCCTGTATCATCTCATAAAGACTCTGTGTTGTGTGCATGTGCACTCTGTGGTAACTGTAAGGAACTGTGTAGCTTTGCTCTTATGGCACCAGACACCCTTTTCCCCTTCAAAGCAATCAAGCATTCTCCCTCGGCACTGAAGCCCCCCGAGCCCGTCTATCCAGAGGAAAACATGACATCACTTAACTATCGTTCTCTCTTTCCGAAACATATCTACCTTGCCCCCCTTTTCTTTTCTCTCCCTCCTCATAAGCTCCCCCCTTCATCTCCTTGAGCTGAGCAGAGCGCTGCGGCGATATTATCGAAGGCATATGGTGCAAAGAAGAGCCCGAGCCAAGCGAGTCCTGGATTATTTAGTTATGCGTCCTCCTCATTCCGGTTTCAAACTGAATTTTAGGACAGCAGCATGAACGTGAGCCAAGTTCTTATTAACACAGAAGTATGTGATTAATACCTCACAGTTTTCACATCTCTCTGAAAGGCTTGGCCTGAGGATCTTACTTGTGCCACCAAACTTATATGCATGTATTATATGTGGGGTGACACGAATCTCCTCAGAACAGAATATTTAATGCGGCGTATTTTACAAAACAGTTCGTGATCGTGTATACAGAGTACGGCTGCAGTTGGTCTGAGAACAGGGGTTTGACAAAGCCAATTTGGATCAACTGACTGAGTTTGCATAACAACACACAATCTCATGGGAACTTCAGTTTAAAGCCTCTAGTTCTTCAGTCTAGTGCAGGGGTGGGCAATCTCAGTCCACGAGAGCCGGTGTCTCTGCAGGTTTTAGATGTGTCCCCGAACCAACACAGCTGATTTAAATGGCTAAATTAGCTCCTCAACATGTCCTGCAGTTCTCCAGAGGCCTGGTAACGAACTAATCATGTGATTCAGGTGTGTTGACCCAAGGTGAGATCTAAAACCTGCAAAGAAACATAAGCAAAAGTTGAATGCAACAGAAACCGAGACACAGTCACAGTGTGGCCATGCCCTAAGGGATACCCTGCTTTATCGCTTTTTAATGCAGGTTTAAGGCCATTTGGAGAAGCCTTTCGAGGCATTACAGTTTCTGGTACTCCCACATTGGCTTTTGTATAGTTCACTCATTCTCTCTGTATTTCTGTTTTGCAGGGGGCAGCACAGGCACTTCTCCTACCACCTCCAGCACAGGAACTCCATCTCCCTCTAGTGCAGCACACCTCCTTTCTCCCTCCTGCTCCCCTCCAACCTTTCACTTGGCCCCTAACACCTTCAATGTGGGCTGTAGGGAAAGTCAGCTTTGCAACCTGGGCCTGTCGGAGTACCCTGCCTGTGCTCGCAGCAACATGGCGGCCCTACAGGGGTATGGCGGCCTGGCTGAAAGTTCATATGGACGCCTCCAGGCTGCAGGGAGTGCTGTGGCGTCTGGTCAGCCCTCTGAATCCTTTTTGCCACAGAGGACTTCCTCTTTGATTGCTGCCGGCATGCAGGGTGGCACTCACGCTTCCCTGACTGGCAGCGGCAGTGGTGGCGGCGGCGGGGGCAAAATGGATGGCTATAGCGGTCAGCTCGGCTCATTCCCAGCCTCTCAGCTTCAGTACGTGATGCAAACCGGGGGAAGCTCCAGCTCAGCCTCGTCCTCTTCATCCGGATCCGCCCCTTCCTCTGCCCACATGTTTGGTGGAAGCCACCACCACGTGCAGCAGGGCTCCTACAACGCTTTCTCCCTCCACAACCCTTACAATTTGTACGGATATAACTTCCCCACTTCTCCTCGCCTGGCCGCCAGCCCCGAGAAACCCCAGGGCGGTTTGCTCTGCTCCTCCACTCCTGCAGGGGCATTCGCCGAGCGCCAGTACTTGTCCAACGGAAGCATGGACACCATGCACATGATCGGCAACACCACCGGTGGCCAGCAAAGCAGCAGCTCTTGTGACGGACGTCAGTATGGCTCCTCGTCTCAGATGTCCATGCACATGGTGTAGGAACTCAGACCCAACCTTGCAGGGCGCCACGTTTTTAATGTCTTCAATATGAAAAGTAAATCTACAAACCTGGTTTGGTGTTAAGTTTGAACCAGTGTTTTCACATGAAGGATAGATATACTGAGGTACAAAGGAAGCTTTCAGAAAAAGGACGTCCTCTCAACATTTTGTTTTTAAAGATACTTACAGTGGAAGACAAAAATATTATTTAATTATCTTTGTATTAATGAAGGACGGCAACTTGACAGCAATGAAACAACAACCTCATTCAGATCAGTGTTATAAGAAGTGGCAGTGTACTTACTCTGGTACAGAGGGGATTATCAGTTGTGAGTGTCATTGTGCAATAGAAGCAACAGGTTCTTCAAAATGACTTGATTTTTTGGGGACTCAAATGTCATCTGCTCTTCCTGCCATTCTGTAACCAAAGAACCTTCTATGTGATACAGAGGGTTTTTACTTCACTCGGCACTTGTGCCATATTAGCTTGGGAATGCCAAAGTGTCAGTGGTTGCTGACAAAATCCACAGTTTTTGGCTGGAATGAAATAGACAACTGGACCGGATCACCGAATGACTCTCTGCTCCACGTACATGCAGGAGAGAAACTGGTGCATGCTGTGGGAGATGGTGAAAACACACAAATCTGGTAATTGTTGCAAGAGTTCACTGAGGAACTTTTGCTTCATCCTGAAAATGCCAGCATATATGCACATTAGAAATCAGGACTTCACCACGCAACTCAACCTTTTCTCCTCTAAGACTGGATTGGTTATTTTTTGAGTGGATTCTGTTTTAAATATATATATAAATATATGTATAAGATGGCGAATGCAATCAATAACATAAGCTTAAAAAGTTGTTGTGTGACAAAAAGTAAGCAATAGCAGCACAGAGTAAAGTATGTTGTGACGTGTATTACAGATGTGTATTTAAGTGCTGAACAGTATAGCAATTTTACAGGACAATCTGTTATTAAAATGTGTGAAAAAGGGGAAATAGCAAAGTAATTCTTTTTTTTGTGAAACATTTTAAAAAAATGTAAATACAAGTGCCAAGCACCTAAAAAACAAACAAACAAACAAAAAAAGAAACCCTCAATAAACGTTTTAATTCATTTACATGGGTTGGATTTCTTCCCTCTCTGTGAACAGTACAGGCAATTATTCTGGAAAATTAAGAACATACGACATTTTCTAATTCAGATGAAAAAAATGCGTCTTTGTTAGTAACATATAGACTGTAAATAAGGACTTGACAAGGTTCCTAGTTTGAATCCCAGCTGAACCCTTTCTGTGTGGAGTTTGCATGCTCTTTCTCTTCTCTGTGGGATTCCTGTGGATACTCCAGCTTTTCTCAAAAGTGCAAAGACGTGCATGTTTTAAAGAGACCACAGCTTTGAGGTAGATACAGTCTTGTAAATATATATAATAAAGCACTGTACAGTTAAAATGTAACTTAAACTTTAAGTGATCACTAAATGCAAGCACGTTGCATTACATTAATTCACTTATTCGTTTGCGCGTTAAAGTCTTAATTTGAGCATTTTGGCTGTTGACAACTTGTGTTTTCAGTGCAGGATGTGAGAATATTTAAAGGAGAAGCAGAGTGTTAAATGATCATATTACGCTAACATGCTTGATTGTGAAGTGCTTCCAGAGACTGGACTGGATTTGACCGACACTGATACCGTTTAAACGGTTGAATGTGGTTCCACGGTGGTCCTACAGACAAGTGTCCTTTTTCATGAGGTGTTTTTGATCTTTCACATTTTTTTCTCATTAAATTTGCTGTAGTTAGTGCAGTAAGTAACATCCTTATAAAGTACAACAATCTATCTCACTTCTTAGATAGCACAAATGTCTAAGACTGTGACTCTTGAGTACAAAGCACTGCATAGCAGGCCATACTATTTGTTAGATTACATAAAAAAGGCTTTAAAGGTCACCTACAGCACAAATGCAAATGAGAGGTCCAGTTTAGTGACCTGAATTAGCAGATGGTTGTAGTTATATGGACAAAAAGATGCATAATTTTAAGCCTTAATACAACTTCCCTCTTTCCACCCCAACCGACCCGCACACCCACCTTGCTGTTGTTATGAAGCAGGGAAGCTGGCTACAGACCAAGCGCCTGTTTTGTGCCAAGCTGTAAACATAGTTATTCTGTAAAATGGAAATCTATCTGGATCGGCCTGTTTTACAGCCTCAAGTGGCCATTTGAACAACTGTAACTTTTAGCTCTTTCACAGCGTTTTGACTTAATTTGGTGGTTCCCGCTTGGTCATACGCCTCAAACTCAGAGGAAACAGGAGTTGCGCATAAGCAAAACAAATTAGACTGTTTAAAGTAGGTAATCAACAGAATAATGATGCTTTTACTCACCACATGTTCTGTATTTCACAGCTATATACTGATTAACTCTTGGAAATGACTGATAAATATCATCTAAGAAGCATGCCATTTTGAATGGAGCTTGACATTCTATCCACGAGAGCTGATTTGCCAGTCGCAGCCTCTTGGCCACAATAGCAACAAATGGCGTGATTATTAATCACGCAAGAGAGTGTTCTCTGCTTATAAAACACACACATCTGCTCCGCTCCACATCACAGGCACGGGCTTCAAACGCTGACGCAATGCATCGATCATAAACCAAAACTGGGAGAAAAAGACCCCAAGAAAAAGACGATTTTTCTCCCTGCTGGTTCTGTTTATTATGAGAATGAAGAATAAAGCTCTTGTGCCAACTGCACTCAGCTGCACTACTCCTGTTGTGCTTGTTGCACAAAAATATGGCACCTGTTTAAAGAGACAGAAAAATCCCCTTGTAATCATTTGAACCTCCAAGCGAAGGAAAATATTCAGCTTTTAGGATCGTTCCTACTCCAGCCTTGTGGTTCTTCTCTTGTTATACAGACGCAGATTCCAGCGATTTAGCCGGGGCCAATCAGCATCTATTACATGGATGTCTTCTGAACGGCTCTCCCCAATCACTTCCTATCACGAGTACAGCTCCAGCCATGAAATATCATATCTGAACCATCATCGGAAAATGAAGGGGGTAAAGGACCGTGGAGACGGCGACCCACTATTGGAAACACCTGTTTTTCCAAGCATGACTTCAAATAATGAGCAGGGTGATGTACCGGAGAGAAGCGTATGATTTCATAATTTGGCATCGCTCCATCTCTCTGGACATTATTTCCAATAATTATTCACATTATTTGTCTGATGTGCGCCCCATCTCCTGTTCCAGCAACATTCAAAATCACCCTGTTACCCACCCCCCACCCGTCTTCACCGCAAATCTACCTCAGGGCCTGTTAAATAGGAGATGTATTGGTAAAGAGGAGCAGTGCACATGGCTCTACAGAGAGGCGGCATGACATAATGCACAGCAGGTCTATTTTTATACCGTAAACTATCCATCAGGTCCTTAAGTGGAAAAGAATGGCAAGAGGCTTGAGTAACAGCCACTCGCTGCCTTTCATCGTGGCGTCTTTCATTAGAAACAAAATATGCAAAAGGAACTCACTGATTGATTAATGACCGAGCGTGGCCGACTCGCCGTAAAACATGAAACTGTAAGACTTGGAGATACGGAACTGGAGCTTTTTTAACGAGGTCCTCTGACAGGGATGCTGCTTTGAGCCTGCTTTGACTGACAGCACGCTGACTGAAAGATATTCCATAATCCCCACATCTCAGCCATTGATCTTTCCCTCCCGACACATTTCAGAAATTTTAAAAGACTCAGAAATTGCTCTCTGGGGATTTCTACTGGACGCGAGTCCAGTTGAGGGGGGAGCTGTGACCATGTGCCAAAGTGAGGAAAAACACTGCTTTAATTTCGGAGAACCCTGAGCCTGGTTTTGACATGACAGAGTGTGAGTTTATATCGGACACTTCAATCAGTAAATCCTGGTAAACTATTGCCCTCTTGTGTTTATTCCTCTCTTATGCTTGAGATTCCTTGGCCTGACTCATCTTCACAGTAAATTATTGCTGACAGGAGACGCAGACCCACTTTTCTGAGGTGTTACAGTGGGCCTGACATGTGTATTGGAACACTAAATCATTGTTCTTCTGCAAAGGGCTCTCACATACCTTGGGCCGTCTTACACCAGCATTCTTTTCTCCTTCAAGGAACATCTTGAAGCTATTTTAGGATTGATAAAGTCATGATGCAGATGTCAAGCGTTAAAAAAAGAAACATAACAGGTTCTGGCAATGAGGCTAAAGTCTGTACAGCCACAGGAGTACAGATCTCTGAAACAACCCTGTGCTTGTTTGTATGTCTGTCTATAGAATGAAACAAAGGGAACATGTAGAAGAGGAAGTAAATATAAAGTCTTCACATTTATTTCAGCACTGCTGGATGTCTCTGTAGCTTACAAAGATTAAATAACAGCCAACTGCACTTTACATCTGTGAAAAGTGCAATAAAAATAAATTTTACTTACAAATTAGGAAAAGAGAGGGTTTAAGGAGCCATTTTCATAGTGAAAACTATGTGATGTGTTTGGATTTTGCCAAATGTCACACTTATGATTACTGGTTGCACCTATCCGAAGGACATTGTTCCTGAAGTCTTGTTTGTTCTAATGCAACTTTGCCAATTTAAGCTGTGTTGTTATGTTCTTTTTAGAGAGAAAAGGATTTCTCCTTTAAAACAGGCCGTACGTGTTGAGTCTTTTTCTAATTGTACTGTCATGAACTTTAACACATTTACACTGAGATGTAGCTCTTGGAGTTTTTGCAGTATCTCTGAGCATTGATCGGTCTGACCTTGGGTTGAGTTTTCTGGGATGTCCACTTCTGGGAAGTGTAAAATTGTCTTGTCTTATAACCTTTCCCAGAAAATGTTCTTTAAGAACCTTGCTGCTGTCTTTCCTCTTTGGCATTGTGTTAAGACGAACCTGAAAGTTTCAGATCAGGAAACTGCCAAAAACTCTGCTTTTATAAATGTCTTCACAATTGCCGATGATCACTTTATCAAGTGCATCATTTGATTATCAGCAGCTGGCTGGGACTTATCCTCATGATTCCTGTGTAAGTAGTAAAGGTGTACTTAGGTTTTCATAGGACCTTATACATGTAAGATTAATGTCCAAAGCCAACACTGCAAAAATAAATGAATAAACACAAATTTAAAAGTAAAAGACAAGCCACCAAATACTTAAAATCAATATCTACTATGTTTTTTCACAATTTCTTACTTTGTTTTTGTTTTTCTTTGTAATTTCTAATGATAATAATGGTGATCCTTGAGTTGTTTCAGTGATTTTTTTTGTTTGTGTCTCACAGAACTGATGATTTAAAATAGGAAATGATCTACAATGAAAAGAAGATAACCTGATAACTGGCAGCAGGGTAAAATGTAATAACCCCGCAAATAAGCAAAAGTAACATTCTTTAGCAGCACTATTTTACCTTAAAGCCTGCTTTGTCCTAAACTGTAGTTCTAAACTTGCCGTTTAGAATTATATCCAAAGCAGAATCAAATTTCTCTTGGGCCAAATCTTTCAACACTGTTACGCTGTTAATGCTGTCAAATAAATACAACCACAACATTCTCTAAAATGGCATAAATTCGCATGAAAGAATAGTAAGAAGTCTGATATTCTCATTGTAGGAACTACACTGGAAACCAGGAATGCAAGTGAGATGACTGCCAATAACAGTACTTTTCAGGATGAAAGAAAGTGAGATAAAAAAAAAGTAAATGTAAAATGGATAGATCAGCAGAATATTGGAATAATGAGCCACTGAGTTGGAAACTTTATGTATCCCTCAGTCTCAAAACTGCATAACAGACGGTGGCCACCATATCAGATATTATACTGATTGAGACAATTTGCCACAACTTATGTTTAAAAGAATTCTGCACAGTTAGAAACTTTGATGATATTAGGTAAAATATTCAGTCAACAACAGTCAAAGTTTGTGTAATGTTCTTTATAGCTGCAACATTTTGTTACTGTCATAAATATGCATTATTTCCTGGGCAAAGGAAGTTTAAACATGCCTATCAGCAGAACATCTTTGTAACACAGCTACAGTATTTGGTAGAAGACAATAAATTGAGATTTTCAAGCCTTGGATTTGATGTTCATTGTTCTTATGCTCAGTTTTACGCACAGAGATGAACTAAAACACAAATAAATATTCTCACACACTCAGAAAAGGGCCTCAGCCATGGCATGCGGGTCAACAGGAAAACAGTTGAAATGATTTTCCTTCTTCCTCTGGAGAGAAAAAAAAGATGTTTGAGATATGGTTGACCCTCTCGGGCAGGTGGTTCTGATAAAGACCCCAGGCCCAGATGGAGACAGACCCGTCCGAGGCAGTCCCATGGTGCCATGCCTGCTGAGAACAAAGACGCCCCAGTGGAAAGCCCCCGTGTCTTAATGAGAGAGGTCCGGTGCTTTGTGGTGGCTTGCAGTCAGGTCCTCAAAGATTCAGAGGATCAGGTGACTGACCGGGCAGGTGACCCGGATATTGAAACCCCGTGGAGGGTTGATTTTTAGACTGTGAGAACCGGAGAGTTGGTGTGAGATGAGTGTGAAGACGTAACAGTAGGCTCGGTCGAGCTGAAAGGCAAAAAAAAAAAAAAAAGAAGAAGAAAAGGAAAAATTGTTAAGAATGCTGGTAATACATTGAAAATCGAGTCTTTCTCGTGGTTATACCTGAAATTGGATTTTTAAAAACATTGACCTTTTAAATACTACAGCTCGAACTATGAGAAGAAATTTTAATTCATAAATGAAAAAACAGCACTGGCTTGATTTATTTTAAAGTACACTTTAAAGAAACATTTGTTTAAAGTAATGCACTAAGATGGATGTATGGATGAAACATTTACAATAAATTAGAATGAAATTTAGAATAAAAAGAATATTGCCTTAAAGTGGTTTAAAATATGTTTGTGCACATGTGCACATGACAAGTGTGGGAGCTGAAGTTATCAGTTATTGCTGACATAGCAATAAAATAGGAGAGCCCTGGATTTTTCAGCATCCTACATTTTATTATAAGCCTTCCAACTTAAAAATAAATAAATAAATAAAAAATTCAGTGATGTAAACAATGTTGAAAGGCATTTCAAATCCTCCATTCCAGCATCAGAATGTAAATGCATTGAGATTATCTTGAAAATTTCTGTTTTATTGTCTCCATGTAAGTTGTAGTTAGTCTTATAACCTTCAACAATGGATTTAATCCTTTATTTTGTCTTTAATATCCCCAAAAAACAGCAGAAGCAATCACAGCCACTGAAAACAGGGATATCAAAACTAATTCAAATAATGAATGAGATGAATCCCTCATCTGAAATTATTCTTTTCTCTCCTCTGAATTTTATTTTGGAGTCTGGAGACTGAATCTTCAGGAAATTAGAGAGCGGGAGCAGAAACTGAAACTCATTTAATGAGTGGAGTGGGAACATTTATTGTTTTACTGCATAAACAGTCTATACCTAAATTTCAGGCGGAGCAGTATGTTTGGCACCAGATGCAATGACATGTATTAAAGCTACATAAGCTTTTCTATTAGTTAATACAGGTTCACACCTTACAAAGGCAGAAAAGTTGCACTGTATTCAGAGGACGACAAACACTTAATAGTTAATGAAGTGAGCCACAGTTTGATTGTTAACTTAAACTGACCCCACCACCAACTGCACTCGACGAGATCTGTGGACATTTTAAAGAAAAGCAATGGACTTGAG